AATCAAGAAAGGTGTGTGCTAGGGTTGTATTCTTTCCCCATACTTATTTAATATGTATGTTTAGCAAATAATTTGAGTAGCTGGATTATATGAAGAAGAACATGGCACAATCTGAGATATGCAGACAATGCAATCTTGTTTGCTGAAAGCAAAAAGGACTTAAAATGCTTATTGATGAAGATCAAAGACCACAGCCTTTGTGTTGCACCTCAATGTAAAGAAAACAAAAATCCTGATCACTGGACCAATAAACAACATCATAATAAATGGAAAAAAGACTGAAGTTGTCAAAGATTTCATTTTACTTGGTTGGATCCACTATCAACACTCATGGATGAGGCAATCAAGAAATCAGATGACATATTGCATTAAGCAAAAATTTTGCATAAGACATCTTTAAAGTGTTCAAAATCAAAGATATCAGTTTGAGGAGTAAGGTGTTCCTTACCCAAGCCATGGTATTTTCAATAGCCTCATATGCATGTGAAAGTTGGACAATGAATAGGGAAGACCATAGAAGAATTTATGCATTTGAGTTATGGTGCTGGGAGAGAATATTAAAAGTACCACGAACTGCCAAAAGAACAAACAAATTTTGGTTGGAAAAACTATAGTCAGAGTGCTCCTTAGAATTCAGTATATTGTGACTCATAATTTGGACATGTTGTCATGCTTTGTAAAGTAGAAGATCAGCAAAAAAGAGGAAGACCTCCAATGAAATGGATTGGCAGAGTAGCAGCAGCAAAGGAGGTTGCTGCAGTACCAGGCAGTGTTTTCTTCTGTTGTGCATAAGGTCGATATGAATTGGAATCAACCTGACAGCACCTAATAACATCAAAATTGCTTATATAGTTAGAAAACAAATTAAGCTACTTTAAAGAAAAATGATGCTCTTTACTTCTTCTCCAACACTATACCATAGATGGGGTGCTTTTGTGGCTGCAATACTTGTCATGAGAGGTCCCTCAGATCATTAAAAAGAGTTTCAGAAATACCTTGGCCATGCCTTTGAATTCCTGCAAAGTGGAAATTTTCCCACATGAAGGTCTTAAGGGTAACTTTCCTAGATACTGATAAAACTATCTAGGATAATTTAGAACTACTTGATTTCAAGTGAAAGAGCCCTAACCTAAATTAGTTTAAGTAGATAAAGAGACTATTTTATAATGATACTAGTATATCTCCTGGAATCCAAGGAAAGAGTCACTCACACACTGTCGGGAGCTCATACACTGTCAGAACACTCTTCCTCCATCTTGGGTCTGGTTCATTTGCTGTATGGCTGCTCACCAGCTGCCTCCACCTGATTCAACCATGGAGAGACACTGACTGACGCTCTCGCCAGCAGCTGAACTCCAAAGAACTAGCATTCTGTATTAAGGTCTCATACACAGTTTGAATCAGGTGCCCAGACTGGATTGATCAACTTTGACCAAAGCCTGGGGTATTAGGTTGTTGCCTGAAAGGGTCAAAGTGTGGCCAGAACAGACAGATTCACTGAGCAGCCTCTCTGCAACAAAGTCATGGGAAACTAAGTGAAACAGATATAGATGGTGATCCTGGAACTCTGAGCTTCAGAAGATAGGGCAGAAGGGTAGACTGAATGTCCACTGGCAGAGGAAGCAGTGGGAAAAAAGAAAAATGGGAAGGTTGTTATCTGGCATGGAGTGACTCAGACAAACTTGAGCGCTTGCTAACAGCTGTCAATACAGCAGTGCCAGCACAGGATACACGTGGAAGTTGAAAGCGAGGGGATGCTCTTCTCCCTTGTTCTGTGCCCTCCCAGTAGCTGGGAAGCATGTCCAGTCCCTGCCCTCATCTACCCAGAGGCCAGTGGCACCCCCTCCTGTGTCATCTCAGCTCTGGCCAGCTTCTGGAGGTGTATGAACCCACCCCTGAACACAAACAGCAAACAGAGAACAATGTTCACACTTCCAGTCTGTATCACATCCACCAGAAGATAGGTAGAGAGTGCCTGAGAGAGAACAGAACAACATGCAATCTTCAATTAAATATAAATAAAACAACACCACAATATCTCAGAGAAAACAGACTATTTCCATTTATACAAAGAAACAAGACAAAGTGGTTCAAACAAATGGCCAAAAGAAAAGAGTCAGAAAATATAATGTCAGAAATGGTATGAGAACTACTTGATAGGTAATTTAAAACAATGATATTTAGACACATTCAGTGGATTGAGAGAAAGATCAAGAAAACCAAAGAGAACACAGAAAAAAATTTTAAATAATTCAGGAAAACATTACAAGAACAAATTAACAAAAGAAATGAAAAATTGGAAACCATAAAAAATGGCAATCAGAAATCCTGAAGATTAATACTAAGAATTCAGAAATAGATAGCACATTGAAAGGGCAAAGAAGCAGAACGGAATCAATGTAAGGCCCAATTACCGAACTTGGAGACAAATCTCTCAAAATTCATCTGCTACAGGAACAATCAGGAAAGAGAATTTAAAATCCAAAGAAAGTCTAAGATTTATATGGGACACTATCAGGAGGAATTTAAAAGAATTTGCAAAAACCAGACCAACCTTCCAAAACCTAGGGAGTTCTCTGAACAGAAAACCAACAACAGTAGACAGCTACTTGAGACTAACCATGCATGACAATATCACCCAGTACTCAATGCAGATATAGAAGTATTCAAAGTGAAACAAACCCACAAGTCTGAAAATAGGGAACCAGAGATACCAATTTGTAACAAAACCAACAAAAAGAGGGAATAATAAAGTTACAAAACTTCCAGATGAAGAGGAAACCAAGTCGATTTCAAGAAAATAAAAATAAATAAATAAATAAACCTAACTAAACCCTAAAACTAGACCAAGCTTTACTCCTAACCCTAGCCCAACCCCTACCCCTAACACTAACACTGGTGGTGGTGGTGGTGGTTGTCTGCCTTCAAGTTGGTTTTGAACCAGAGAAACCCTATATAGGGTTTCTGAGGCTGTAAATGTTTACGGGAACAGAAAGTCTCATCTATCTCCCATGCAGTGACTGGTAGAGTCACACTGCTAACCTTGTGTTTAGCAACCCAATTCACAACCCACCAGGTTACCAGGACTCCTTAACACTAACATTAGTTCTAACCATAATCCTAGCACTAGCCTAAACCTAGACATTCTCCTAACCCTAGCTCTTTGCTCCTACCACCCTCCCCAAAAAAATATTGTTTTAAGTTTTTTTGTTGTTGTTGTTTATAATTCTAAACATTTATAAAAATTTGGCATTTCTGGGACAGGACATTCAAATATGTGATTTGGTATTTTGCCAGAAGATCAATATGTGACAAATTGTAATTTAAATTTTTTAATGGTCTTTACTGTTCATTAAACTATAAACAATGATACAAAACATATTTATATAAAACATGATAAAAGTTATACAAAAAGAATCATGTGGATATGCAGGGAAATGGAAGTACACTGGGAAGACAAAACAATTTGCATCTAACACATGATGTTGTTGTTGTTGTTATGTGCCATCGAGTCGGGTCCGACCCATAGCGACCCTGTACAGGGTTTCCGAGGGTGTAAATCTTTACGGGAGTAGAAAGCCTCATCTTTCTCCCGCGATATCTCCCCATAATTTCTCAGTTCTCCTCTGCCAGAACTACTCACACTAGAGGTTCTTCCCCCTGAAAGAAACTGATAACTATGTTGTCTTTCTTGTGTAAATTTCAATATACTTGTAGTTGACATGTTTAATGACTATCCTTCTACATTTCAATATAAGCTCTATGAGAGCAGAAATCCTGTCTGACCTATTGACTGTGTTTACCCTCATGCCCAGTAGTGGGGACTCAGTAAAACTTTTTGAAGTATGTCACTGAACTTTTAGAAAATACTGGAAATAATTCTGGGTATATCTGGAGGCAATCCCAACCAGGCATGCTCTCCTGTCCTTGGGTGATGAACAAAGAGTCCCAGCAGGACCTATAGTTGCCAGTGATTGCTGAAAAGACTGATGGAAATAAGTTAAGGTGATGTAGAAAAGCCTGAGATTGAAAGGGTGATATTTTCCTATAGTACCCTTAGTATATCACTTAGTAATCTTGGATTCATTCTATGTTATAATTGAATACTGGTTTTTCTAAAGTAGACAGAACTATAATAAGCACTGAGCACTTACGGAAAGACTAGATAAGACGTTTGGATTAGAAGTCACAGCTGCATGATTGTACTATGAACTCCATCTGTAATTTGTAATGTTACCTTATTGTTGTTGTTGGTGGTGGTGGTGGTGGTACATGCTGTCAAATTGGTTCTGACTCATAGCAACTCTGCATAGAGTTTCTGAGGAATGGCTGGTGAGTTTGGACTGCCAACCTTGCAGTTTAAACCAACTTTGCAGTCCAGAGCATTAACCCACAGCACCACACCATTTTCCCTTACTGAACCACAGATGATCAAGATGAAACATGGGTAGCCTAAAATAAAATTCCAAGGACCCTCTCAGCTCCAACTCTTTCTAATGGTCTCATTCTATAGTCATCTGCCTATATGTGCTTCAGAGGATTGTAAATGACATATTTTGTCTTCCCCACAACTTCCCTAAAGTCACCAGTTCAAACCCATCAGCTGCTTCATAGAGGAAAATGAAGCTGTCTCTCCCCTAAAGATTTATAGTCTTGGAAACCCTTGTGGTTTAGACAATGACAAAATTCATAGGTTGTGGGCAGTTTCATAGGTCTGAAGCTGGTTGCTTTGTTTTATTAATCTAGAGCTTACTCAATCATGTTGTTATTGGGTGTTGTTGCATTAATTCTAACTCATGGTGACCCCATGTACAACAGAAAGCAATGTCTGCTCAGCACAATCTTCACTTCGTTGATATGCTTGAGTTCTTTATTGAAACCACTGTGTATTATGAGTGCCTTACCACCTGGGCCTCCTCTTCCAGCATTATATTAGACAGTATTCTGTAATCAATCAGGTCATCTGATTTGTGTGTTTGTGTCTTGCCCCTTCCTCATAGCCATGCTACAGGCGGTGCGAGCCCTGATGATCGTGGGCATCGTCCTGGGTGCGATTGGGCTCTTGGTGTCCATTTTTGCCCTGAAGTGCATCCGTATTGGTAGCATGGAGGACTCTGCCAAAGCCAACATGACCCTGACCTCTGGGATCATGTTCATCATCTCAGGTAAACAAGATGCTAGGGTTCCCACTCTCAAAGGTGCTTCTGACATGTCAAAAGTAAAAGTCAATCTGGTCAAGGAAATATGGCTCCTCCCCGACAATTGACATAGTCCAGAGCTTTTGAAACTCAGATTCAGATGTGAGTTATACTACAGAATTATCATGAATGCTAAGATACCTCCTAGATGATATCCCTAGACCCATTATAAGCAGTTCTCACCCTAAAACCATCACATAATTGATCTCTAAAGGCCACATTTTAGTGAGACTCTCAAAAGTGATTTTCAGGTCATGCTCTTTCCATAATCAAAGGACTGATATTATTAAGTGCCATTGAGTAGGTTCCGACTCACAGAGAACCTGTATAAGGTTTCCAAGGTACAGCTGGTAGAGCTGAACTGCCTACCTTATGATTTATAGTCCAGTGCTGACCCTAGAGCACCATATCAGGAGTTCCCATCAAAGGACTAGACCCAAAATACTTGGATTATGGACACTTCATCTCAAAATGAATAAAAAATCTGTCTGCACACATATAAATCCTTCCACAATTAATAAGCTAGGGATTGTAAACACCTAGCAATGGATTACGTTTGGTACTGCTAACCTCAAAGTTATCAAGTTCAAATCTACCAGCTGCTCCTCAGGAGAAAGATGAGGCTTTCTACTCCTGTAAAGATGTAAAGATTTATAGCCTCAGAAACCCTACACAGCCTCAGAAACACTGTGACTCCTTTAAAGCTGATTCCAGAGATTTTTTGTTCTTTGTCCACAGGTCTTTGTGCAATTGCTGGAGTGTCTGTGTTTGCCAACATGCTGGTTACTGACTTTTGGATGTCCACAGCGAACATGTACACTGGGATGGGTGGAATGGTACAGACTATTCAGAACAGGTAAACACCTAATTTAGGTCTCAGTATGCCATAGCGAATGCTATTATAAGAATCTGATTAGACACATATGCCTAATATGACTGTCAGTGCTTGAAATGGCAAAAAAATATATCACAAGCAACCATGCTATATTGGAAATCAACCATGATCTGCAAATTTATAAACTTCATTTCAATGAAATGTCATTAATACTTTGACTTGAGACTGATATGAAATTTGCATTGAAAAATAGCAAAGGTTCATAGTATTTAACTAACACCTTTACACAGGCCCCATTGTGGTGGCAACCAAGTAGGTACTATTACTTCAGCTATGTAAATAAGCATCAAGCTTATTTACCTCTCCAATCAATAATGGGAATCTAGCTTGGAGTCAGTTCCGACCCACAGTGATCCTGTATTGGGTTTCCGAGAGCTGGTGAGCTTGAATAGCCAATCCTGCAGTACAAAGAGACTTTGCAGTCCAGTGCATTAATCCACAGCGCCACACCAGGACTCTGGGAATCTAGCTAGGGGTAAGTAAAATCTTGAATATAAATGAGCAAATTGCAGTATAAGTGATGTTTCTGTCTTCTACCATTGTTTCTTTCTTCCATTCATTAATTCATCTATTCCCAAATGGGATACAGACAAGCTCCCCACTCTGAGGGAGATGATACTCTAGCAGAGGGATCTGAAACCTCAGGATAGTCATCTGAAGGGAGTACAACCTTGAAAAGATAAAAAAAAAAAAAAAAAAGCAATTCCAACACTATCTTCGTTTAGCCACTTCAAAAGGATGTATCTCATAATAAAAAGCTATGGAAATTCCTGAAGGAGAAAAATAGTATTCTGGAATAAATCTGTAAGTGTTACACCTAAGTGATTTGTCATTTCTGGAATGGATACAATTGGCATTTCTCCAGATGCTCTAGCATGGGGGTAAAGGCTTAAGACATGGTACATCAATTCCTCTCAGTCTCCTTGGGACTCCAATCCCCATTCATGTCCTTGCTTCATTTCACGAAGAGAGAGGAAATGATCCCCACAAACTGCCCTCATTCCCCTCCATGCTCCTCCTGAAGTCACTTGGTTACTAGGACAACAGAGAAGTAGGCTGACCAACTCATCCTGGTTGCCCAGCTTTAGCCCTGAAAGTCCTACATCATGGAAACTCCTTTGTAACAGGCAACCAGATGGTTGGCCACCCCCTTTAGAAGGAGCCTACCCTGCCCAAAGTACCTGGGTATCTGATGTTGCTGTCCATGCCCAGAAGAGCCACCTCCCACCAACCTGGCAGCCCAGCATATGCCTGGCATCACTCTCACACACACCATCTCCCTAGCACCTGCCACACAGTGTGTGCGACACTGATAGGACCTGAATTTCAGACCAGACCAGAGCTCAAATCTGCCTGCCCTCCACTGCACACAACCTGCGGAGGAGTTTCATATTGGTTTAAATGTGTCTTTTTATCATTTGAATTTATCAACAACATTTAAAAATTAGAAGTGCCACATGCCAGGTTTCATCAAAACAGATCTTGAGATCTATAAGCATCTAAGTGCTCGCAAACTAAGGAAGTACTCCCAAAGGAGACTGGTCAGAGAGCAGGAAAAGCAGGACAGAGAAAGGAGGAAGCCAAGCTAAAGATATTTCAAAAATGGCTGCAACAGTGCACTGACAGGGAACTGACAGGGGTTCAAGCCTGATTCAGACGAGAATGTGGAATGAGGAATATCATTGCTGGTGTCAGATGGATCTTGGCTGAAAGCAGAGAACACCAGAAGGATGTTTACTTTAGCTTTATTGTCCATGCAAACGTTTTGACTGTGTGGATCATGACAAGCTATGGACAACACTTCAAAGAATAAGTATTCAGAAACACTTAATTGTGCTTATGAGGAACCTGTACATACAAAAAAGAGGCAGTCTTTCAAACAGAACAAAGGAACACTGAATGGTTTAAATTTCAAAAAGGAGTGTGCCTGGGTTGTATTCTTTCACCATAATAAATCAATCTGTATGCTGAGCACATAATCTGCAATGCTGGATTATATGAAGAAGAACAAGGCATCTGGATTGGAGGAACACTCATTTACAACCTGCAGTATGCAGGTGGTATAACCTTGCTTGCTGAAACTGAAGAGGACTTAAAATACTTACTGATGAAGACCAAAGACTACAGCCTTCAGTATGAGTTACACCTCACTGTAAAGAAAACAAAAATCCTCACCACTGGATTTTTGTTAGCATCATGATAAATGAAGAAAAGACTTCATTTTGCTTAGATCCACCAACAACACTCATGGAAGCAGCAGTCAAGAAATCAAGCAACATATTGCATTAAGCAAATCTGCTGCACAAGACCTCTTTAAAGTGTTGAAGAGCAAAGATGTTAGTTTGAGGACTATGGTGCACCCGACCCAGCCATGGTATTTTCAAAAACCTCATATTCGTGTGAAATTTGACAATGAATAAGAAAGACCATAGAAGAATTTATGCTTTTGAGTTATGTTGTTGGAGAAGAATATTAAAGGTACCATGGACTTCCAGAAGAATAAATAATCTGTGTTGGAAGAAGAACAAGAATGCTTCTTAGAAACCAACATGGCCAGACTCTGTCTCTCATACTCCAGACATCATGCTTGGTAAAGTGGAGGGTTGGAGAAAAAGAGGGAGATCCCCAATAAGATGGGTCAACACAGTGACAGCAACAAAGGGCTCAAGAGTTGCAGCAATTGTGAGGAGGGTGCAGGACCAGGCAGTGTTTCATTCTGTTGTACATTGGGTCGCTATAGATCAGAACAGACTCAGAGGCACCTAACAACAACTACAAGGTGAAATAGACAAGAACATCTTCCTACATTCACACCCTGGTTTGGACTTAAAATCTCCTGCATAGTGAGAAAATCAATTTTTGTTCTTTAGAACCACCTACTAGTGGTATTTGTGTGATGGCAACCCTAGGTAACTAAGATAGAGTGATAAATCCTACCACAGTAGCTATTGGGAGAATTGATGGAATAATGGTAAAAGTGCTTATAACAATATCAGTAAAGGCTCAGTAAATAGTAGTGATCACTGCAATTGTCATTAATATTATGCAGTTACTCGATTATCTACAAGGTTCCTGTCTGAGCCAGGGCACTGGGACCAGGCATACCCCCACAAAGTCCCAGAAAGAGGACTGCTGTTTTGCCCCCAGCCACACTAGTAAGGACTAGGGACCAAGGCAGCAGTCTTCAGAACAAATATTTGTCTTTTCCCAGTCCAAAGGAAACAAAAAATAACCGACAGATCAGTTTCTCCCAGAACATTTTCAAGGACTGAGCTCAGTGTGCCAACTTACCTCTTCACATTATTCATGGTCATCAGGCTTACATGGTTTGTTCACCCTGCTAGAATGTGGGTGCTTTTAAAGTGGATGATCAGAGAAAAACAGGAAGAGCCTCAACAAGATAGATTAACACAGTGGCTACAACAAAGGACACAAACATAACAACCATTGTGAGGATGATGTCCGGCCAGACAGTGTTTCATTCTTTTGTGTGTAGGGTCACTAAGTGCAAACTGACTTTACAGCACCTAACAACAATGACTCCACGGCATATAACAACTGCACACATATCGTATAATGTTTCCAGTTTTTCTGTAGATTTTAAGCACATCTGCAATCTACAGTATTCTACAAACAGCCCCTACATTTTTTGAGGAACACCAACATACACTTCCAATGGAGACCATGCCCTGTGCTGAGCTCTCATTTTCTGCATGGCTTTTGGAGATGAAAGTCAAACTGACATCAAAATGACGTCCTATGAGTTTTGGGTCACTATTTGTCTTAGAATCTTAAGGGCTGTCATAGCAAAATAACACAAAGTGGGTGGCTTTAAAGAACAGAAATCTATTTCCTCACAATTCTGGAGGCTGGCAGTTCAAATCAGTATACCAGTCTTGTCAATTCCTTCTTAGGGCTTTGATAGAAGAATTGCCCCATGTCTCTGTCTTAGCTTCTAGTGGCTATTGGCAATCCAGTGTTCTTTTGCTGCTTATACATGTATCTTCACGTGACCTCTTCCCCCTGTGTGGGGTTCTCCCCTCTTACAGTGAAAGCTGTAAGAGCCAGAACTACACGGAACTGCCTTGTCTCTCCAGGTCTCACAAGTTTTCTACCTTTCACAGTCTTATCAGGCTTCTATGGCTTGTTTTAGTAGAAACTATTTTCCTTTCCTTCTCTGACAAGTCTTGACCTTACACAAACTATGACTTTCACAGAATTTACTGCATGAAGGGGCTTCAAAAAGTTCATGGAAAAAAACCATTATCTCTGAAGTCCATTTTTCTACAAGCTTTTTGAAGCCCCCTTATATAAGATACCACTCAGAAGGGATTAGGACTAGGACTCACTCCACTCCAGTATGATTTAACTGATGATATCTTTAAAGAAAGACCCAATTTCAAACAAGTTCAAATTCACGGGTATACAGGAGCTAAGATTTCAATGTATCTTTCTGGAGAACACTTCAAACTATGACAGTAAAGATGTGGAGCTACTTCTCTCTGCCATCTACAAATATCCATTTGAAATCAGAATTATTTTATTCTCTGGAGATTTTGTCCTTAAATAATTCTATTTTATGTAGTTGAGTCTCATTGGAGGAACCCCTCTGGGGAAAGGCACCAGCCGTGGAGTCAGTTAGAATCCCAGCACAGTCTAAAATGGAAGCACCATGAGGGCAGGGTTTGTGTCTGTCTTGTTCTCACAAGGGCAGTGACAGGAACACAATGCTGTTGTTGTTAAGTGCCTCCAGTCAACTCTGGCTCCTAGCAACCCTGTATTGTATATCCAAGGAGTGGCACACAATGGGTGTCAATAAATATTGGTTGAACAAAGGAATGAAAAAATAGCTTTTCTCAAGATAATGTTCCTATCTCCTAAAATGGTTGTAAGGATTACCTGAGAAAAGGTAAAAGAATGTTTAATCCACAATAAGAATTCAAGGAGCCAAAATCCCTCCAGAAATAATAACTGATTTCACATCTTTCAAACTTCTCTTGCCAACTTTCAAATCCTTTGCCATTTGGGAGGAGAAGGAACCTCCCTGAGATGTATCTCTGACACCAGAGACTTGCAATTCTATGCCTGACTGATATTAGGTACTTAAGAAACATGCTGTCAACTAATTTCAGTCCTGAATCTATGATCCAGGGCACTGAGAATAGACTGGCTGTTACTCAAGGAAGTGTGTGTGGGGG